TTTTAAATGCAAACGTTGTATTATGCGGATTTTATGTGTGAACTTTTAACATTTTCAGTTAGGCATATATTAGTAACTTGAGTTTGAAAAATGCTATGATCTGTTCAGTTGTTATCACTTATTAGGCATTCATTTGACTATCGAAACACAGAAATGACGTTCGCAATCATCTTAATGTCTATCGCAACGCGGAAATTACTATCGCAACGAGAGAATCGCAATGCGAAATGAAAATCGCAACGAGAGAATCGCAATGCGAAATGAAAATCGCAACGAGGGAATCGCAAAGCGAAATGAAAATCGCAACGCGAATTTAGTTTCGCGTTGCGATTTTGTCGTTGCGATTTTCATTTCGCATTGCGATTCTCTCGTTGCGATTTTCATTTCGCATTGCGATAGTCATTTTTGCCTTCGACATAATGCAGATTGAAATCAACAAAATCAACCATTATATTTCAATCAATTAAACAAGCACAAATAAGAATTATGTTCACATCAATTAAACAAATCAACTTTTACAAATCATCTTTTACAAATCAATTAAACATTCAAAAAATAAGCAATAATTCTTATTTCCTCATCTACTATTGAATCAACTTTTGCAGCCATACATCATTTTCACGCAGCTCACTTCTGAGATTAACCTGCAGAAACCAAACATTTGCTCAAACAACACTTTCTACACATCTAAAACCTACAAACAGCAAATTATTGAATTCTAGGTACTTAAGCAAACATTTTCAAACCAAAAGCCTATAAACTTACCTATTGTTTATGGACATTTTTATAACGCGGATGCAGGTAGGCATTGTCTCGTATATATCGATCTAGCCATATAATGCCGAAACCACAAGCCTACTGCAGCTCTATCTCTATCGGTGGGAGGTAGATACTTTATACTTCCTGTGATCAAACGCTCCAACGCCAAGCATACGAGAGGACCACAATCCCCTCTGACTCCTTCCGTTTGTTGTGGTGCGGTCTCGTCTCTGCTAACTGTAATATTGAGCTTCTTTGGCTTCTTGTTTTCAGAACGAGTCCAATAATTTATCGCATCCAAGAATTTAGCCAAATGAGAGCTCCATCCCTTAATAATATCTCTTAAATCAGCCAATGATATGTAATTTATCATGCTGTCATATACTATTTCCTTAAGGAATGGGAGTTGAAGCTCGACGAGAAGTCAATGTTTACGTTCCAAAACAAGGATAAACACCTGCAATCATAAGTAATAATTAATTCATTTGCACACTTATTTATGAATACCTTTAAACTCAATCTAAAATAAATACTAACCTTATCGACCTCCCACCATGCAGGATAAAGTTTAGCTTGTCCATTGCCCAACGCAAATGATTCATCTCGTTGATTCTTCAAGTGAACGGCGTTAAAAGATGTTGGCATAATTGTATATCGTGTATTTCTTTTATTTTTCTTAAGTTTCCTAATTATTAGAAGACGTGACACTCACGCATCGATATGTTGTTTTAAAAAAAAGACATATATTAGTGACTTACATAAATTTTTAAAAAAAATAATCAAATTGAAATATAAGAAAAATATAAGACTTACCCCTCCATCGAAATAGCCATTGTCTTCGACCCCTAATAATACGCCCCACCAAGACCGATCAAGCAACAAATAGATATCATCGTTGAGCTTGCATATGTCAGTGAAACACCCCTGGCTCCGCTCATGTAGATAAAAATCAACTGCGGTCTTAGCCCAAAGGGTGTTATCCAGAATTGTGTCCGGTAGTTGTCTCCACTTCAGATACCGGAATGGTACTGGCCGGTAACTCATACGAGAGCCAACTCTCATCCATCATGTTCGGCACGTCAGAGGGTTTCTCAAGAATCTTACACATGACGCCATGTGAATCGGGCTCTTGAATGGTGGGAGGGACCTCTTCAACGATGACAGTGGCCTCTTGAACGGTGGAAGGGGACTCTCGAGGAATGATAGGGGCCTCTTCAACGATAGGAGTGGACTCTTGAGGGATGACAGGCGAGTCGGGCTTCTTCTTGCGGTGTCTTCGCACTATTGGGGTATACGGAGACTTAATAGCACGTGCACGCCGTCTGATGCGTGAACTCTGTCGTGCAAGAAAAACCCGACGTAAAGCATCCACCTTATCGGGCCGCTAAATAATTAAATACAAAAATCAGTAAATAAACAGACATGATATTTATCATCAAGTTAAATATGGAAAATCTTAAAATTATCTCGTTGCGTAGAGTATGAACCTCATTATGCAACGATTCTACCATCTCACGTAGAGCGGCAACCTCACCACGTAAAGTAGACACCTCCACACGCCATGTACCATCGTTATCGCGTAGAGTATCGATCTTCTCACGCAAGGCATTGACCTCATCACGTAACTCCCTTGAATCATCCCGTGGAGGTGGAGGTGGAGAACAGGGAGATAGAAGTCGTTGCATCTTTGTCGATCGCCTATCATGAGGTGATGGTGGAGAAGAGGCTTGATGATGTGACGGGATAGGTGATGGCTCTCGTTGTAGAAGTGTATAGTCGGGTCGATCAGGTAATGGCTCTGGGTGAGGTGATAGCTCTCGAAGTGGAGGAAGTGGAGGCTGCTCATCATTTGTGCCATCAAAAAAACGTTGACTAGCTTGCCACCAATCAGTGGCAAGCTCAGCCTCCGTGGGTGTCAGTCTCTGTAATGGAGTGTTGGCCTCCTAAAAATATAAAAACTCAAACAAAGTTAAACGTCTACTATTAATAACTTGTTTATATATGATAGTATTTGTGTTAACTTATATTATTTATTGTCGCATATGGTATTAAGTCTTCCCAATCCAACAGACGTTTCCTCTTCCAGGAAATAGCCCTAGGAATATCATTTGAAGTTTTTAATACATATGTCTGCATGCTGGGGAAAGCCTCGAATATCCAAATCTACAAACAATATAATAACAAACATTAGTAATTGTTAAATAATTAATTATAATTTTGAAAACATTATATAGAAATTCTTACCTTAAAGGCCCAAACAAAGCCTGACAAAGTGTATTTCGACCCATCGCCACGCAAACTTTTGCGGTCATCAAAGGCAGACGACAACTTAGTCCAGGTAGCTTTCCATATATATGAACCCCACGGAAACAGATTCCATGCATTTAGGTCCTCTACCAATAATATTAGCTCCTGAGGAATAGGTTGTCTGGCCTCTCTGCCTAAAAAGCCGGCATACAAAAGTACTAGAAGGCATACTCAGACAACATCGATGTCATTCATCTGAGTAAAACCATCTTTCTTATTAAACAATTTCTTCAGGTCTTCGACGTGTAAGTTCGGCTTCTCTATTGATTCATCAGGAAAAACCTGGGATAACCATGATGGGCGAGTGATATGACGAGTGTACCGGCCTACATCATCGTATCCGAATCGTAGACCAGTGATTAAGCAGAACTCCTTCCGCCCAAAACAAGTATACGCCGGTGGAAAATGAAACCATATCTCTTCCTCACCACGTTGTATATTGTCGGGTAGATCGCTAGTCATGGCCTGAAGCCACAAATGGGTCAAATTAGCATCTCCACCCGGATGTTGTACTCTCAGCCATTGCCCGAAGCAGGTTTCCTCAAACAATTTTCTTTGTGCAGGTGAAAGCTTCGAAGCAATTGTAGTGGCTAGGCTAACTTTATTCCTTAATGTCAATGAAGCCGAAAAAAATTTCTACAAAAACAATAAACATACCAAATTAGATATACCAAAAACAATAAACATAAAGAGTAGAAGTTTATTATTGAAACTAAAATTTGCAACACTGTTTTGTCTTTTGGTGCAACGAGAGAATGACTATCGCAACGCGGAAATGACTATCGCAACGAGAGAATCGCAACGCGAAATGAAAATCTCAATGCGATTTTGGTTTCGCGTTGCGATTTTAATTTCGCGTTGTGATTCTCTCGTTGTGATTTTCATTTCTCTCGTTGCGATAGTCATTTTCGTGTTGCGATTTTCATTTTCATGTTGCGATTTTAAGTTTAGAAACTATTCTTCTTCTGCAAATTGAAACTTTAATGGATTGCATTACTTCAACCAAAAGACAAAACAAAGACAAATACTAACTTCACAGGGTTAAAGACTAAACAGTTTAGCAGTATTGGCAGCAATCGAATGAATTTAATAAGAAATCTAAGTGAAATGGTTAATCTATTATTGAAATTACCAGTAAACTTATCATCAATTTCAATATGAAAAACCTAAAATAATGCAAAATTTTCAAAATAAAAATAATTAAAAAAAACTAACCCTCGGAGGTTGATTTTCCATTTCTGAATGATTGTGAGGGATTTCTAACCGTGAATGGTTGTGAGGGATTTCGCCGGAGATGGGGACGGATTTCGCCGTAGAGAGTGAGAGATGGAGATGGGTCTGAGTTGTGATTTTAGGTTTTAGGTTATGAGTTGCGATTACGGGATATACTGTGAAAGGTTCAGTTTCCGATATATTAATATATTCGTGTTTGGAATTTGAAAAAAAATACACGTTAATACGAATGGCGCTATGTAAATCGCATTGCGATAGTCATATTCGCATTGCGATTTACGTATTCGCATTGCGATTTTCCTAATTCACATTGCGATTTACGTATTCACATTGCGATTTATGTAATCGCGTTGCGATTTACGTAATCGCGTTGCGATTTACGTATTCGCGTTGCGAATTAGGAAAATCGTAACGCGAATTTAGGAAATCGCAATGCGATAGTCAGAATCGCGTTGCGAATCTGGAAATTGATTTGCGATACCGGAAATCACGTTGCGAATTATCGATCGCATTGCGATTTAGTTGGTCATTTTGGCAAATCCAAAAAAAGTTGGTTAAAATCGTATATTATAAGGCATTTTTTGTCACTGAGATTATTTTCTCTTTCAATAATTCATATGAAAAGACAAAGTATTAGGTGGTGTTTGTATTTTAGAAATTAGAAATGATAAACCACAATCACGGGACACTATAAGTAAAGCATAGTGTGACAACTGAAAATGTTAGTTACTGTTTAGCATATAAAATATAAACCAAAATTTCCTCAGATCAGAACTTGAGACTGTTGTAGCAGATCAGATCAAAATTTACAGCGATGGAAACAAAGGTGCATAGCACGTTTAATCAGTTTGGTTCTTTACCTGTTGAGAATGTCCAAGCTCTTGCATCCAAGAACCTCAAGAACGTTCCATACAGATACATCAGATCAGAGATCGAATTCGATGTAGTTTCTTTTGATGAATCCCTGCAGATTCCAGTAATTGACATGAGCAAACTATATGATAATGCTGATGAACAAGAAAAACTTCATTTGGCTTGCAAACACTGGGGTTTCTTCCAGGTACCTAATCTAAACACAATTCTTTTACCTAAACGGACATATTAGTTCATTTTTATTTGATGGGTGAAACAGTTAATCAACCATGGGGTAGAAGATGAAGTGATTGAGAAAATGAAGATTGACGCACAAGAGTTCTTCAACTTGCCTTTGGAGGAGAAGATGGCTTCTGCACAGATACCCAATCACATTGAAGGCTACGGTCAAGCCTTTGTTGTATCACAAGACCAGAAGCTTGATTGGGGAGATATGCTCTTCCTCTTTGGCCTGCCTGTGCCCTTAAGAAATATGAGATTCACGCCAACCAATCCCCCTTCATTCAGGTGATGATCCTTCAACTTCATGACTATGATTGGGTATACCATGAATTGTCTGATCAACTTGTTCTGTTCAGAGCAACTTTTGATAAGTACTCAATGGAGTTACATAAGGTTATAATACATCTCATGAAGCTGTTTGCCAAAAACCTGGGGATCAATCACGAGTTGCTTGCGAGCTTTTTTGAGGACGGGATACAAGGAGTACGAATGAACTATTATCCACCCTGTGCAGAGGCAAGCAAGGTTTTTGGTCTAGCACCACACTCTGATGCTACAGGCTTAACACTCTTGATTCAAGTGAATGAAGTTGAAGGATTACAGATCAAGAGAAACGAGAAATGGGTGCCTATTAAACCAAAGCCTGGCGCATTCATCGTCAACATTGGAGACATGCTTGAGGTAATAACAAAAATTTCAAGCTATACATAGATAGAGTTGGACTTGAATGATTGTATTACAAATGCAGATTATGAGCAATGGAGAGTATAAAAGCATAGAACATAGAGCTATGGTTAATCCAGCAAACGGGCGGTTGTCGATTGCAGCATTTCATAATCCGAAAATGGGTACCCAGATTGGTCCTTTGCCTGATCTTGTTAAAACTAACAAGGCCCTGTATAGGACTCTACCACTAGAGGAGTTCCTGAGATTGAAGATGGCCAGCAAACTTGATGGGAAACATATGATAAAGAAAATGATGCTATAATTCAGAATCCTAGTCATGTTTATCAACTATTTGCCCAAGTTAAGTACTTAACGCAACTTTTGTTACGTCTTTTCCAGTTTCGAAATGCCACAAACAGGATTGGTCCAAGCAAATTTTATAGTTTATTATTCTCAAATAAATCGTGCAATTCTTAAAATTATGGCAGGTGCTTTAGTCATTAAACAGTGAAGCATTGGGAAAATGGCATATATTATGGGCTGTGCAATTCTTAAATTTACATGAAAAGTGATCTCAGGCAATAATTAACATCCGGAACATATAAATATAGCATAAAGTCTTCCATATAGCTTTGTGAATGGTAGAAATGAATCACTCTTAAGGAGGGGACAAGCAATGGTAAAAAACTAAAAATAAAGTGCGAGTTTAAATATAGGTAAAAGCATAGACATGACCCAAAAAATAGTTGAATTTAAACATAATTAAAAAGAAAAACTTTGAATGAGTTCGCATACAAAATGTAAAATATTACTTTGAGAATGCAATCAAAACCAGATTATGCATATAACCATCATAACTTCAGTGACAAAGGAATCCAAAGAACTAAGCACAAGATCATAATTTTTCCAAAAGCACTGAAAGAGTGGGCATCAGTTTTCCAAGGTGTTTTAGCATCATGAAATACTAATTCAGACGCAAATTACCCATTACAAAAAGAGATTCATCGCACGCCCAGGACATAATTTCAGTAGGAAAAAAAAAGTTCAAACCCTAAAATGATTATCTAAAACATACAGAATGAGGAAGTCATTAAAAACGATCAGAACCTGTCGGAACTTCAATGTAACATCAAATAAGATCAGTCGATTGACAGAGCATTGAATTTCTATCATCACATCGTTTTTAATTCTTTCCCCCTTACTTAGAAGGGAAAAAAGGATAAAAAAATCATTTTAACAAAATCAAAGGATTTTTTTTTTTTAAAAAAAAGAGAGGGGTATAAGCTCAGAACTTCTTAGAGGGATTGTGTGACCGTCACCGGAGACTCCTCTGGTATACAATAATGTTCATCAAAAATACATTTCAATGTGGGGGAAAAAGTCTAATTTTCGAGAGCCGGCTATTTGCCGAAGCCCAGGAGTGGATGAAGCTGTTCAGCTAAAAGGGTGTTTATAATGCAAGGTGAAACCCTAGTAGCCACTTGTCAATGTGCGGCGAAGTAGCGAATCTCACGTGGGTAAATTACTGGAATGTGTCATTTATCTTTTATATTTATATACTTATAAATACAAAATACAAAGAAATTAAGTTTTGGTCACTTATATTATTGTTTAGTTAAATTTGGATTATTGAGAGGTTGAATGGTATTATTTTGATTGCGTAGCACGTTAGTAAAATGGTTTAATTTAGTTTAGGTGGTGTAAAGATGTTTAAAGGTATGTCTCCTCAAAACAAGTCAATATTTTAAGAAGATCCCGTGATATTATCCAAAAGAGAGATCGAGAGTAATTTATTATATGTTCAGAATTCAAAAGAAAGATCTTGTTTTCATTATCGCTCAAATAGTTTTTGTTGTTACTAAACAATTTGTGATGCTTTTAACTACTCTTGAAAATACTCAAATTTATTAATATTTTATTAAATTAAACTCTTTATATATTATTATCATATTTATAATTTTATGTAAAATAGAAAAAGTAAGAATTGAGAAGGATCGTTATAAAAAGAATTTATTAGTCTAGGGGTACTATTGTCCAAAGTGGTGGGAATTGTCTAATACCTAAGAATTTAGAGATAATGACATTCTCACTATTTTAAACAAAAAAAATATTAGTATTGAAAAAATATTATTTTGATAATGATCTTTTCTACGAATAAAATGTAGGCAAATCCTTGGTTGTGTACATCATGTTGGCTACATAGTGGAGGATTCAGAATAGTTGGGAGTAATGTGGCGAACACATGTTATCCGTAAGGTTGTTATCTTGGTTCAATTGTGGGAGGTTTTAGGTTTTCTAGTGTAATTGAAGGGGATCTTGTTGAACTTGAATATGTTTTTTTTTGCTGATTCTTTTATTTTGTTTTTGGTTGCCCTTCAATTTTAAAGTTTTGTCTTGATTAATCTAGACCAATCCGGGTTGCACACTTGACTTTGGTCGGTGAGTCTTTCAGTGAGAATTTTCTGCATACACAGTGACTCGAATCTGGGGCCTTACTTAAGCAATATCAAGTTGTTTACCACTTGAACCAACTCATTTGATATTGATTCATTTAGTTGAGGAAGTAGGTTTACATTCACAATATTAAATTATTGATGTAAAATAAGAGAGGTGACAATTGTGAACATCAATGATGATTCATTTATTTTGATTTAGGTAGAGAGCTGCTAATTATAGTGATCAAATAGTCTTTTTTTTTTACAAACTTTGAGGAAAACGAGAGAAAAGAAAATCTTGTTACTGAGGTAATTTGACCAAAAATCACCATATTAAAAACATATTACCTATCAAATACACTTTCCTAACTATTTCTTGATCTAACACCTGAGAGAAGGAGGTGCGTTTAGTAAAACGTGCTTTAGGAGTAAGGCGCGATTTGTAGGAAACGCCTTAACCGAAAATTGCTGACACCCGATAAAACCGACGATACCCCTGGAAGGTGCATCCCTAGGGGTGCGTCTTACCAGGGTTTTCTAACAACCTTAGAAGGCCCATCATTTGGGGATCGCCTTCCCCCTCCCGCCCCGATTCCCCGCCAAATTCTTCCACCTACCCGTCAAATTCTCTCACCTATTTCCCTAACCAGATATATTCTTTTTTTAAATCACATAAATCACACCTAAATATCTCTCATTCCTATCAATTTTCAATCTGGTAAGGTATAATTGTTTTTATAATTTATTTTTTTATTCATTAAAATTTTTATTATTTAAGTAATTAATTATTTTATTTTAGTATTTATTTTTTTTATTTGATTAATTAAGTGTAAACTTATTTAGTTAATATTTATTAATTACAATTAAAAATGGAAGGCGCATTGTTGCGATTGGATGCTGATCATATTTTGAGTCATTTTGCAGATACGATAAGAATATGAAACTATATTCTTTTTAAATTTATAAATATTATGAAATCAATTATATATTATTTAATTTATTAGAATTTATTTATTTGAATTTATTTAAATAATTTGAAATAGTAGTTCAAATTTTAATGGTTAGAATTTATTTGTTAGGAAACTGATCGTATATTAGAAGTTTTTATTCGCAATAAGAAGGTGAAAACACCAAGGTGTATCTGGCCATATTTGTCTATGGCTGGATTCGATTACTTAGAAAAAATTGAAGGAGGTTGTAAACTTGAACCCGCCCTAATTTCTGCACTAATTGAGAGATGGAGGCCAGAGACACACGCATTCCATCTACCACGTGGGGAGTGTACTATTACGTTAGAGGATGTTTCAATGCAATTGGGGCTCCCGATCGATGGAACTTATATTTTTGGTGTGACAGATGATGATTGGGGGTTTATGCAGGGAGTATCTTGGAAGTTACTCACTCAGTTTCAATGGTGGACGAATAACATTAGGGTGGCTGAAAAGTGAATTTAAAGAGTTGCACGAAAATTGTTTGGAGGATGAGGAAAAAACATTTATAATACAACTCATTAGAGGTATATTAATGCCTGAAAAATCTCAGAACCATGTTCATTGTATGTAATTGAGGCACATGATCGATTTTGAAGTATCCGACACATTGAGTTGGGGGTATGCAATGTTGCCATTTTTGTTTATAGAAATATGTCGGGCTACAAATTATAAGAAGACTGTTATTGGCAGTTGTCTCATGCTTCTCCAATCGTGGGCATGGTACAACATGCCTTTTTTGTGTCGATCATGAATGAGCCATATGTCATTTCGTCACTTTTAATGTATCAATAATAAATTTATTTTTAAATAATGTTTTTGATTATTACATAATGACATATATATATATATATATATTAAATAGGTGGTCAAGTAATAGGAAAAATCATCATGATATCCCACAAGAATTACAAGATATTAGATTACTCATTGACCATAAAGCTAGTGTAGAGGTAAGCTTTTTAATTTTTTATTTATTGTATTTATATAATTTGAATATCATTTTAATTTTGATAAGAAATCTATATTTTTGTTTTAGTTCAAATGGTTGCTATATTTGGACGATGCATTGAAGGTTTGCATCCCACCTAACCTTAGTGAGATATTGGATGTATGGGTAGTGGTTGTTCCCTTTATTTGTTATGTTATTATTGAGTGACATCTGACTGATCGTGTGCTTCGTCAGTTTGGGTTTACACAATTTATTCTATAAGCACCAATGAACCTCGAAAATATGCATAACATCGATATACGGGGCAAGAAAGAGGTAAATTGGTTGATGAAGCATAGAGACTGGTTGGCAATGTGGGAGAACCGATATCAACGCTTGCCCCATTGACAATATATAACATAAACTAGTTTGATGGTTTTAGATGGCTATATTGAATGGCTCAATACAAACAGGAAGCTATTATTTCTTACTTTCAGAGGAAGCATGAGGGGTGGCAATTCATCATCGCTGACAAAAACGTCTGACGTCACAACATCATCGTCCTCCCACTACTAGACGAAGAGCATGTGCTTTTGGGTATTCCTCACCTATGCCACCAGAACCATCACACCAGCAACTAGCGATGTCGGTTTATATCCCTAACCCTTCAATTCACATGGGGACACTATCATTTGAGACGCCACCACAATCGGTTCAGATGCCACATCCGCAAGTCCAGATGTCATATTTGTCGGTTCAGATGACATCACTGTTTGGTTACGTACAGAGCCAGTATGGTTTTATGAAATCTATTGGCGGATATTTTTTAATTACGCTTACGGAACCAGTTTTTAGTTCCTACATGAATTATGATGCGGGTGGTCATCCACCACAAACACCTCAATCGTAGTATGCGTCACAGACATCGATGTCTGATTTTCATAATTTTCGTAGTTTTCAACTAGTAGTGGGATCGTCAGCCATACACCTCTAGGGTTCTTATTCTATAGTGATCATATATCAGCATTCAACCCTTATCGAGAAAATGTTGTTGAAAGTGATGATGACGATGAGGAGAAGGAGGATGAGGATGAAGATAATGATGACGATGATGAGGAGGATGAGGATGACGATAATGGGGATGAAGAGGAACTGTTTATAAGAAGAAACCCTCCTAGAAGTAGACGACCACCATCTTGTGGAACATATTCTAGGAGACATCGATGAATATGACAATCATTACAATCTTTTTATTTATTGTGTGTTTACTATGATGTATTTGCCTCTTATTTAGTTTTTTATTATGTATTTATATGAAGTAAGATTTTTCCTCTTAATTATTTTTACCACTTATTTTGTTTTGTTATTTTATATTTATATAAAGTAAGTTTTTGTATGATGTTTAATGTCTTTTTGCGAACAAGGACAAACAAGACACAATAATTTGGGTAGGCTTATTTTATAGGACAACTTCCTTAGGCCTATATATATGTGTGCGAGGTGACAGCTAATTTTAATATATTCAGGCAAAAGCTTTAGTTGTTTAGATAGGATGACTATTATCCAGACAAATATTTTTTATTACAAATATTTAAGCATGTCTTTCAAAAAAATTCACTTGAGGAGTTGAAGCTTAAAATAGAAAGAAAGATTAAACCTAGAAGGAAAAAAAGAATCTCTTTGCTATATATATATTGCCTTTAAGAGGTTTCTTCTAAGCGATGATGTCAACCTTTGTGGTATGATTGAGATATACTACTCTCAGTTTGTATCTCATGTGGATTTGTTTTTAGAGTTTGAGGATGTTGATGATGATGCTTCGAGTT